CTAACTTGTTTGGGATTGAGGCATAGTATTTGTACTTATCATACCTTGTGTATTGATCTATCAGACAGGATACTGCACTGAGTATTGAAAAATGGAGGACATGTTGGTAGTGATTCTCTCGATGCTTCTGGCTCTACTATTAGTTCCGCTTTATCTGTGGAAGCGCCGACAAAATTCTCAGTCTTCCAGAGAACATGAAGATGAACCTCAGGTTGATATGCTTTTCCTTTTGGTCTATGGTTTCTTGCAGCTTGTTTTCTGTTACAAACGTGGTGAGGTAAGAGGATTATCCTTGAAAGTTCTCCGGTACAAGGTGACAGGAATATGGGATTGATTCTTTAACCCTCCTAACTAGAGAGTGATCTGCAAGTGGGTATCACACCATCATTAGGGTTTGAGAAGATTATGAATTGATGTTAGCATTAAAGTTTTGGTATAACCATAATAATTAGTAGTCCTTGGCCCATTTTATATAACAATATGTGACTGGATATGATGAGCTTAAGATGTTAATATGAAACTAATTTTATAGTAATGACAATGAAAGAAAATATCAGTAATGGTTATAAGTAGTTTGATAAAGTTAAGTTTGAATAGTTTAATGATTTGAGTTCTTAAAGGTGTGAAAATTGTATAGAAATGTAATATGCTGAATATCTTGGGATGTCCCGAAATGTGGAAAGAGTATTTTATAAATCGGGACGGAGGGAGGGAGTGCAATACATCAGCATGTTCGTTTACTCTAAGTCTTATTACCGACGCGATGGATTGCTATTTGAAAATACTTTCAATACAAAAAGAGCTCCTTCCGGCTTTAATATACTCACTATGGTGACATTAATGGAGGGACTTGTAAAAAGTGCCGCAATGTTGTTTAATCGTCATTGTATTTGGAGAAATAAGAAATTAACCAAAAAAAAGAAAGAAATTAACTCATATTCAAATTTAGCAAAAACTGAAACTGTTATTGGCTAAATATCAGGTTGAGCAGAGGGACACTGTAGTAAGAGCCACTGGAACGCGTCGAATGCGTCGAAGACCAGCTTCTTCAGCTGCTAGCACATCTTCAGCTGCGGCCACTATAGATGGTATTCTTTCCTTCATCTCTTGCTCTGTTGTAACTGTTTGTCTAATTTTCTTCTGGTAATGTCTAATTATTTTTTTCTTTCCATATCTGTATAGCTTATTTATTTTTGAAATTCAAAGACTATATCACTTTTTCCATGATTTTTCCCTGTAATTTTTTGGTTCAATTTCAAGTTGGAGGTAAAAAGAAATAGGCCACTGTTTCTCACCTTGAGCCCCTGCTTCAAAATATGCAAGATAAAACTACAGGAGGAGTCTCCTTCCATTCATTCAAAATGAGCCTAATTAGCTGTGGCTTATTTAATCGGCTATAACTTTGTTTCTTTATGTTCATCCTCATTGTGACAACTTCATTTGTAAAGTTATTGCATCAAACGAGAAGTGAAGGGTTAACATTCGTGGACAAAATCATGCTTATTGTTATGTTTCTTGGTTCAGAGATGTATTTTTGAGTTTAGGTGGCCTAGCTCTTCTTGGTTATTATCTCCAAACTGCTTTCCCTGCTTTAGGTGCACTAGATTGAGTTGATGATTCATAATGACTGTATCATGTTTATATATTTTTTCAAATATGTGCAGAACCGGTTGACAGTGATGATGAAGAGCCTGGAGATGGATATTATACTGCAAAGTCATCAAGGAAAAAGGAAAAGAAGCGTCAAGAGCGGGAAGCACAAAGACAGGTATCTCAGACTTTAAAGCATTTGCCTTTTAAGAGTACAGGCATTTGCAACAAGTCCTCTCAAATGATAGAAATAGAAAGAGTACAAGCTTTTCCAACATAAGACACAACATTTTACGTACTCAAGTTTGTTAGTTAGGTCCTTGACGCAACTAAGAAGATTAGGAAAAAATTATAGATAGTTTAACAATTACTAAGATAGAAATGGAACAGTAGTATACTTTGAAGAGAATTAATAATATGGAACTGAATCTGCTTAGTGTGCAAATTTTCAATTCTTACCTGGTTGCTTCCCGTCACTTTGTGGTTGGGGTAATTTATCTCACATCTTGAGGGTGCAACGCTAAAGAGTGGCATGATTTAACACATTTTGCAGTGTGTTAATAATGGGATTCACCATAGAATTAAGACTCCCTTCAAGAGTCACGAATACCATCTTCATGACCTTAAGTTATACCGCACATGACTTCGTCTTTTAGATTTAGAATTGGATATAAGTAAGGCTGTGGGAACCACACTATTATATTTTCTAGGAAATGTGCATTTCTATCGCATATTGCAACTTTTAGAAATTGAAAAAAATCAGGGTTGATCATAATCCTTCTCATTGACTATATAGACTGAAGAAGCTACTCGGGAATCAAAACAGACAAAGCAAAGCCACTATGATGATATCAGGAGGAGGAAGGAGGAGGAGCGTGAAGCTCAAGAGCGTGCACTGGTAAATATCTGTCTGCGTGGAATCACTTTATGTGTTGCAGAATTCTTATGAGAGAACTGGAATAATTTGTGTAGGAAGAAGAAGCCAAGGCTCGGCAGGCCAAAGAGGAAGAAGCTGCTGCATTAGAGTTTGAAAAATGGAAAGGTGAAATTTCAGTTGATGCTGAGGGAACAACTGAAAACGAAGTTCAAGATGGAAGCCAGGGTCTACTTTTTGATTTTGTGGAATACATTAAGGTAATTTCAATTCATGCTAGTTAACTAATGACACACCAAAGATTCATATGCTATATCTACATTTTTCCTCTTTCTTTTTCTTTTTCTTTTCGCTTATGGTTGTGGTGACTGCTGAGATCTTCTCTTTCTTGATAAGTACATTTTCCTCTAACAGTACTAATTCTAAAAAAAAAAACATTCCTCTAATTCGCACTAGAATTATTAACATTTGTTTAAACGTACTTAAGCTTGTACAATAAAATTATGGTCAGAAGATATTCAAGATTTGGTGAAATATATTGACATGAGTAGGTCAAATCTTTTCATATGCAGAAACACAAATGTGTGCCATTGGAGGATCTTGCGGCAGAATTCAAGTTAAGGACTCAGGTAATCACATTTTTTCTGTTACCCATTTCTGGATGTTGGTCACCATATCACTTTTTTTAATCGTGTAGAATAGTGCTCGGCATTTTTGGTTCTCTAAAAAGGAAGCTAGTTCTTTTGCTGTAGTGAATTGTTGAGTAAAGTTGGTCATCTTCCTACACTTAAAACAGGGTATATAGGATGTGTTTGGAATGGAAAATATTTTCCAATTTTCCCATGGTTGGTTGTAGAAAAATAAGTTTCTTAAAAATGAGGAAAATGACTTCTATTTTAGAAGTAAGGAGCACAAGTTCCATAAGCGACGTTTCACATTGATTGTCTCCTCCCCACCCTCACCCCTCCCACCCCACACCTTTACCCCCAGCCCCACCTCTTTACCCCCAGCCCCACCTCTCGTAGTGTTTACCTAGATTATACGTAAATGCTTTTGAAACAGTATTGTTCATTTGCTTACTGAACAGCATAAAATAAGTAATAAAACCACTTATATAATTCTAGGAAAACATTTTCCTCCATACCAACACACCCGTAATGTTCTCACGATAAGCTATCCATTATTCTTGAATCACCCTCTCATTGCCCATTACTGTTTACTTCTTAAAATGCAGGAGTGTATCAATCGTATCAGCTCACTTGAAGAAATGGGTATCCCCTTACCTTCTCTTAAAATTTCGATCAAATTTTACTGTCTTGAAGCCATGAATTCTTGTTCTTTCCACATTGACTGAACGATAGAATATTTCGATGTGCTTTTGATCAGGGAGACTTTCTGGTGTTATGGATGATAGAGGGAAATACATATACATCTCACTAGAAGAAATGAGAGCTGTGGCCGACTATATTAGACGTGAAGGTAGGGTGAGTATCTCACACTTAGCTAGCAAGTCTAATCAATTCATTGATTTGGAACCAAAAGTTGAGTTAGTTGAGGATATAGGCAGCATCGAGGAGAAGACAGTTGTTGCTTGAGCTTAATGAACTTGTTGTATGATTAATTTTATGGAAAATCAAAGGTTAATAGACTTGCTTTACCCTAATTTACATGTATTTCCATCACCTTTCCTTTCTAGGGATGTTTGTCGGTTAGTTTGATATTTTTTATTTTGTTTTCAATGCAGAAAGATTTTGTTTTTTTAAAATGTTATACCAATGCCATACAGAAATAAATTCGATATGGCTAGATTTTTTCTTCTTTTTGGGTTATCGCGGATCGATGTTCCCGGTATACTCTATGAACTCTTGTATCTTCTTTTGTTGAGTTTCATACCATACCAGAACTATTAGGGGTGTGAATTTCTATTTAAATTATCATTAGCTATTGATCACTTTTCCTACTTGATATATCAGCAGCATTAGTCAAGTAGGAGAAATGAACAATGAATGGATGAGTTAAATTGCGATAAATAGGCATAATACATATATTAGCCCCTAAACTTGGCTTCAAATTTTAAGTTTGACCTCCAACTTTCACAGTGCACAAATAGACACTTTAACTATCCAGACTTTTAATAAATAAACCCGCGATTTTTGGACCAAAGTGCGTGAAATGCAAACGCTTCCACGTGTTTAAGTGAGCCAATCAATGACTGCCAACTAATTAAACATTTTACATGTCAATTTTAGAACTAAAAAATAAATTAATTAATTTCAATTAATAAAGAAGGGTTAAAACATTCCATCTGTTCATTTCACGTACACAATTCAAAATCATCTCAAAGTGAAAGTGAAAACCCTAGGTCAGCAAGTGAATCAAAATTTGGGAATCAAAGGGGGAAAATCGTTCAAGATTTTTAGGGAAGTTGATGTTCATCTGTTCAGGTATGCCTAAATTTGCCCTTTTGAAAGTTTATCTTTGATACAAAGTTATCACCATTAATGTAAAATAGTTATTTTCTTACAGCTTTATACATATGGGTCATATTATAGCTATTTTTCACCATGGAGGTCGCATTTATAAAGGTCAATATGTGTCGAAATTGGGAAACATCGTATTTAGCATAGATAAGGACCATTTCTCTTTGACCGAACTGAAATCGTATGCAAAAGACATTGGATATGATGAAGTTGATGCTTTTTTTACTGAAGACCCTATTACCCATAATTTTGTCAAGATAGAAAGTGACAGCCAACTATATAACTTTGTTAAAGATTTGTGGAGTGGGTCATTTTTTAAGTTGTTTTTGAAGCATGTGACTGTTAAAAAGGGGGGGTCCACTGCTACACCTACTTTGGGACCATTTTCTGTTGAAAATAATAATCAAGAATTGGGAAATTGCTCTAGGGTTTCACACACTGAACATGGTATAAATGGGGAAGGTGAAGTTGAACAACCATTAGATGAAGAAAATGATGATTCTCTTAACTTTGAAGAGGATAACTTAGATGATGTTCCAGATCAGGATGATAGTGAAGTTGATGAAGAATTGAGAGCTTTTAGAGAAAAACTTAGGGAAGACAAACAAAATGAAGCTGCAAAGCAAAAAAAGAGAACTAAAAAACTCTCAAAGGATCAAGGTGTTGAGCTTGGAGAAGTTGGCATAGATAAGGGATTTGAGAATATCTTCACCAATAAGGCAGCCAAATTTAATGGGAAATTGGGAGGTGATGAAGTGTTTATTGATTCATCAGATGAACCAAGTGAAGATAGTGATGAGGAGCTAGATGTTCTAGCACAACCAGGTGTTGATTTACCTTCAAGAAGAAAAAGCAACAAATTGAGGTATGATTCTTCTTCATCCGTTTCTTTCTTTGAGTTGGGTATGATATTTGAGAGTGCAACTCAATTTAGAAAGGCTGTTGCTGATTATGCTGTTCAACATAAGGTTCAGTTAAGGCTTAAGCCCAATGAACCTCATAGAGTTAGGGTAAAATGTGAAGGGAAGTGTAAATGGGAAATCTTTGCAAGCTTGGATAAAGATTCTGGAAATTTTTTTGTGAAGAAATACTATCCTGCTCATAGATGTATTTCAAAGAATAAGAACAGGTTGTGCACAGCCAAATATGTGGAAATGAAGATGAGGGATAGAATAATATCTCAACCTGACATGAGAGTTCATAAGCTTCAAGAGATACTAAAAAAAGAATGGGGCTTAAAAGTGGGAAGATCAATATGTTTCAGGGCAAAAATGAATGTTATTGCCAAGTTCTTGGGTGATTGGAAGCTTGAGTTTTCAAGGTTGTTAGACTATGCTGACATGATTAAGAGTACAAATCCTGGGAGTTCTTGTTGGGTTAGAACTGATAATGAAACAGTCAATGGCTTACACTTGTTCAAATATTTCTATGTTTGCTTTGCTGCATTGAAAAATGGATGGCTGGAAGGTTGTAGGAAGATTATAGGATTGGATGGATGCTTTCTGAAGGGTGCTTGTAGAGGAGAATTATTAGTGGCTGTTGGAAAAAATGGAAACAATCAAATGTATCCAATAGCTTGGGCAGTGGTTGATCAAGAAACTAAACACTCTTGGAGTTGGTTCTTAAACTATCTCATTGAAGACTTGCAACTTGGTGATGGAAGTGGCATAACAGTCATGTCTGACATGCAAAAGGTATTTATTCTGCCTTTGTTTATTTATTGCAGCTTACTGTCTTGTGTTACTGCCCTGTGTTACTGTTCTGCATTACTGCCTTGTGTTACTGTTTTGTGTTACTGCCCTGTTTTACTGTCCTGTATTACTGCCCTGTGTTACTGTTTTGTGTTACTGCCCTGTGTTACTGCAAAAGATTTAACATCATGAAGACATGATTAATTTTGTCAACTGTTTTTGCAATCAGTCATTTGCGCAGGATTGGCATTCTGTTTTTGGTGCAATTGGTCTGTATGGGAATGATGTTGCAAACTCACAATTTTATCATGTAGAATGACTTTATGTCACTGTAAAGGGATAATTAAGTATGATGAGCTGATTCATTCTATTTTTTGCATCTTGATCTTGTGCTATTTGTTTGTGGGTAGTTTGTTGAATCACTTTGTAATAAAAAGTTGCAAAATATTCTGTCTAAAAGGTTGCAAAACATGCAGCTATTCACTTAGTGTGTGAAGTAAGTGAAGTGTGCCTTAAAGTTATTGATTTAATATTTCTTAGGGTCTTGAGGTAGCAGTTGAAGTCTTACTTCCTAATGCTGAAAGAAGAATGTGTGCAAGACATATTTGGGCAAATTGGCAAAAAAGATGGAGAGGTGAGGAAAGGAGAAAAGCATTTTGGAGGTGTGCCAAAGCTAGCTTTGAGGTTAAATTGAGAGATGAATTTGAATATTTGGGAAAATTGGGTGATAGAATATGTGAGGCATTGCTTGGATATAACAAAGAATATTGGTGTAGAGCTTTATTTAGTGAAAGATCAAAGTGTGATGTGATGGAAAATAATGTGTGAAACATTTAATTCATGGATTGTTGGTCCTAGACATAAATCTGTGATTAGTATGCTTGAAGATATTAGACATAAAATGATGGATAGGCATGGAGATATGATTAAGTTTGTAGATACTTGGATCGGTGACATTTCACCTATGGCAAGATTGATTTTAGAAGAAAACAAAGAGATTGGTAGGACACTAAGGGTGAATTGGAATCATGACATTGGATTTGAAATTCAAGAAGAAGAGTATAGACACATAATTGACATGACTAGAAAGACATGTAGTTGTAGGTTGTGGCAGTTGAGGGGCATACCTTGCCAACATGCAGTTTGTGCCTTATATCACATTGGGCAAGAACCAGAAGATTATGTGGAACATTGGTACAAAAAAGATACATTCCTAAGAGCTTATAAGTACTTCTTACAACCCATCTCCAATATGATAATGTGGCCTGACACCAATAACCCACCAATTGAGCCTCCTGAAGTGAAGCCGATGCCTGGAAGACCAGGTAGATGTAGAAGAAAAGATAAAGATGAACCGAGAAAAAAGAAGTGGGGGAAAGCATCAAAGAATGGAGTGAAGATGTCATGTTCCAAATGCCATCAAGTTGGGCATAACAAAAGAACTTGTAAATCAGTGGTAAGAATTTCTGTATTTCTTGTAAGTTTTAATTAGTTTTATACTTCTAATTTTGTGTCTTTATAGCCCTCTCAACAGCCCACACAACAGCCTGCAAGGCCTTTCCAACAACCACCAGTGAGGCAGCCTTCACAACCACCATTGAGGCAGCCTAGCACTAGAAATGCCTCTTCTTTATGTGCAGATACTTCAAAGGTTAAAGGAAGGAAAAAAAAGGAGCCAATTGCAAGTGCAATATCTTCTTCAGTTGGAATGCCACCACCGTCTTCAGTTGGAATGCCACCAGCTCCTTCAGTTGGAAGAAAAAGAACAAGAGATGTGGGATTTGGTGTTTACACAGACATACAAACTGGAAGAGAAGTGATTAATGTATGTATATTGCCTTCTTTAATTTATTTTCTTACATCTTTATTAAGGTATACTAAATAATGCCCTATGAATTATGTAGCCAGGAAGATCAAGTGAAAGGGTTATCTCAAGTGGAACAGGGATAGCATTTAAAGATGCATCACAAACAAATGTTGATCTTGGATTCAAGCCACCTGGTTTGAAATGGAAAGGAAAAGATGCAATGACTAGAAATCAACTTCAACAATTGTCAAAGAAAAAGGTGCAAAGCAAATCCAAGGGCAAGTGGGTTCCATAAGAGTTTAAAGTGTTAATGATGTGTATAAATGTTGATCTAGGAGGTCTTTGTTTTTGTTTATTTTGATAAATGTTTGTAAAGGCATACTCCAATTACTAATCATTTTGATGTATTTTGGGTTATTTTGATGTATGTTTGCATAGACAAATCTTTGGAGGGTATTTAGTTGTCCCAGTTTAATGGATATTAAGTTATGTTTTGTGAAGTCTTTTGGTGTTTGTTATGATTGATGTTAGGCTGCCTTGATGTTAGGTGTTTACTATGTATGAAAGTGTGTGAATCATGCTAGTATGAAAGTGTATGAATCATGCTAAGTAATGTCCTTGTAAGTTGTAAAAGTGATGAATATTAAAACTAATGTTGAGAGGCAAACTGCTGCCAACTCTAAAATAGTGCATTTCACATCCATTATTTTGATTGCTTACAATAGATAGCGGTAGCCACTAACCCATAAAGAAAACTACTTTACGAACAAAACGATTCTGGCATAACTTTTTCAACCAATCTACATAACATTTACTACATAAAGAACTCTCTATAAATCCAAGATAGTATCACAATGATCAACAAAACTCGATATTTCCTCCTAATCTTTTCCTTTTCTTCATCATGTTTTTTTATCCTCTTTTGCAATCCCGAAATAGCAATTCTAGCGTGTTCAGTATAATCAAGTTCACACCACCTAAAAAATTTGCATCCAACCTGTTTAAGAAGAACAAATTCACTATCAAAATTGAATCTTGAGAACTAAAATTTAAACCAAAAAAGATGTTTTAAATGAAACCATACCCGACCATCTTCACATCCAAGAAACCAACTACCTGGATTGTTTGCAGACCAAAAAATCTTCATTATAGCTCTTTTTCCACAATGACAAAAAAAATTAGAATCCATTTGCACTAAATATGAGCACAAATCGTTTTAAAGAGAGGAAAAAACTTGGTTTGAAAGAGGAGGAAAAGAGAAATGAGATTTTGATTTGGAAATATAAAGAAATATATATAAAAGGGATTCATTAAGGGTAGGATTGTCATTTCAGCATTTTTTTACCGTTGTGGGCCTCGAAAATAACTCCCAACTCGCGCAGAATTCGTGCATATCACGCATTTTGCCAGGTAGGACTCGCGGGTTTATTTATTAAAAGTCTGGATAGTTAAAGTGTCTATTTGTGCACTGTGAAAGTTGGAGGTCAAACTTAAAATTTGAAGCCAAGTTTAGGGGCTAATATATGTATTATGCCCGATAAATATTTGGTAATAATTAAATAGAAAACTCACACACCTATTATGTCAATATAGAACTCTAAAAATCAAAATAAGAGTGGACATTTTTCGAATTCCAAGAGCATTCGCCATGAAGATACCAGACATCTCTTTTTCCAAACATTTTTGGTTCATGATTTTTGATAGACTGCTTTCGATATATAAACAGGTCTGGTAAAAAAAAGGTTACAAGGCTACGATGTCGGTACGTTCATGCATGCTACTTATGCTAAAAGGCTGTGACCCATTCACGCCACTCCGAGCATAAGGAAAAAAAGAAGCTAAAACCATACAACCTAAAAGAAAATCAAACATACACAAAATGCTAAGCAACAACTGAAAGATAATAAAGCACAAAGTTCTATTTGCACACACAACGATTGTTCCAGAAAATATAACACCATCCATAGCTACTATGCTGCGTTACTATAAATCAAACCAGCAGAAAGCTAACACTAGTAAGTCAGTTCTTCTTTTTTCTTTGAGATGGATAAATCACTAGTAAACTTTATTATAACTTTACTTGGAATAGCATTTTCTGCACTGACACGACAAATATAAGAACTGCACGATGATTGATGAAGGGAATCAGAAACCATGAATTTTGATGTATTCTTTCTTCACGATTCCAGCCTGTTTCCAAAAGTTAAAAAGACAAAGATAATTAGCAACGATCAAAACATATTTTCCAGTATCAGCCGTGGATGCAATGATAACGTATTTAGCACACCTATGGTAGAGCATATACTAATATGAACACAAGTGAGAGTGAGTTATTGATGCAAAGAACAATCACCTGGACAAGAAATGTAGAAACGTTCTTCCTCTGATCACCCTGGAGTTGAATAACCTGTCAAAGTACAATCACAAGTATATATATATGTTAATACACAACATTTAAAGTCGGTATAATGTTGTAACACATTGATAGACAGATATCAATCTCGCCAATACAAACCTGCCCTAGTTCTGGATCCTGGACAACAGTACCATTGCAGCAAAACTCTTTCTTAAGGTCCTTTAGTATTTTATTGTAGCTGAATTCTTTCTTCAATCCTTGCACAGTTGTCAGGCTTTTCCGACCATTTCTTTGTTGTATGCGAATGTGTACATAATCTTTTGTCCCAGCTCCAGAATTATCAGCATTTGCCTCAGCAAAGGGATCTAATGAAAACATCAAAACAAGGACAAATGAATCATTTACGAATCATAATTGGAAAAACCCACCCACAACCAAAACTAGCAAGATAATTTATTTATTTTGCTTCATTTGCATCTAATCCAACAACCACCACTATTCCAAAGCAAGTTGACACAGCTATATAGTTCACAATAGCCATGTCACTCCATTTGAACTAAAAATTGTCACTTCCAAATTTTTAAAGTAATCTTACAAAAAATATAATACCAATTCAACCGAGAATTAATAATACATCAGACAAGTGGCATACCAAAAGCAGCGGGAACTTGGAGGTCGAGATCAGACATGAAACTTTGCTGAGAAAAAGACAACCTTGCTCAAATCACCAAACTTGGATGCTCAGATCTAGGGTAGAAGAGAAGGCTTCATCAATTATACAAACAGAAATCATAAGCAAACTTCCCCACAAAGAGGGGCATATCAAAGAGATGGCATCAAGTAAGATTGCAGGACAGAGACACCAATATCAGGCATGAAAAAACCACATCAAACAACTAAAATAAGGCCAACAAAACAGCCAAAAAAAAAGATCTGCTAAGCTCTATATTGTGACGCCAAAATATCAACAAGAAAACAGTTCTTCAAAGAAAATCTGATCTTTCAAAGCATGATGACAACAGCAAATCAAAGGTGTTAAAATAACCAACTATACACAAAAAAATGAAGACCCCCAAGGACGTATCTTTTGCTTTAAAATTGAAAACAACTAGACAAAGATAATAGTTCCTCAAATAAAGTTTCATAATAAATGAAGCAATGAAAACAGGTTGAATATGCACTTAAAAGTATGTAAACTTGATCAGATATGCCCTCCGTTAATAGTTTAGTTCACATATGCCCTTATTGCTCAATAGTTAGTCCAACTATGCAATTGATTAAATGATTAATAAGCAGAAAAGCCTAAACATGCCCTTAAAGTATGTGAAATTGAACTGATATGCCCTTCGTTAAGATTACAAACGCTAGGCTAAATACAAATCGAATTGTTAAATAAAATTCCCAAAAAGATAGCTATTTCAAATAAAAAATCAGATTCTCTATTAATTTTGGGGATCCAAAGATAATCAAGATTAACACACACTAAGCTAAAGCCATAGAAATCAAATCACTAATAAAATTCACAAAAAAAGAAGCCAATTTTCAAATAAAAATCAGATTTACATTACATCTAAAATTTAACGAACACTTAACTAAATCTATTAAAATCATATCACTGCTAAATGAAAATTCCCAAACAGAAAACTACAAAAACAGTTAGTTTAGCAGATCATCAAAAATACAGACACATATGTTTGCTAAGATCAAAATTCCCAAAAACAAACCATCTTTCAAACAAAAATTCAGTTTTTTTTTTATATACAGTTTAATTTAGCACATCCAAAGTCTACCCTTTAGAAATCGAATCACTGTTGATCAAAATTACCCAAAAAATACATAAAAATCAGATTTTTATCACATGTAAAGACTATAAATTAGTTTTTTTAAGCAGATCTAAGGATTATCAAGATTAACAAACAATTTGCAATTAGAAATTACCTGAAAAATTAGGGTTTTGAGAGAGACCCTTTACAGATTCGGATAAGTCTCGAGCAAAATAGAGAGAAGTAAATTACAGGGAAAATTAATAGGCCTTTCGGGTTTTGGGCTTATGTCGGTTGAGGACTTGGGCCTCATTTATATTCAATTGGGCCTTACTCACCCATAGTTATCCCTATTTTTTTCCAAAAATCCCTTTGAGCAACTTTCACATATAACAAACATAAAAATCAAATTTGTATGCTATAACTATAATTTGTATAATTGCGCTCCATAGCAAACTTATCAGATTGTATAACTTGTTGGCTCCTCTTCAGATTTGTATAATTTCGCTGACAGTCATTTGTATAAATTGTTGTCAGCCTTTCGTTTGTATAAATCGTTGGTAGCCTCTCAATTCAATTTTATGTGTTTGTATATCTACATAAAATTTGAATTTGTATACAATTGAATCGAAATAAAACGTTTGTATATCAAATCTCTCTCTCTCGCTTTATACAAACATAAATTATACATTGTATTTTGTATAATTTGTGTTTGTATAAAGCGAGAAAGAAAGAAAGGCAAAAGAGAACTAGACATGGGAATATTTGTATTGTATAATTATAAGTGTATAGGACGAAGATATATGTATTTGCATGTGTATATACAATTTTCTCTCGCTTTATACAAATAGAAACGTAATTTATACATTTATGTTTGTATAAGCGAGAGAGGCGAGGGAGAGATTGGCGAGCTAGATCTGGGAGAGTGGAGAGCGAGATCTGGGGAGAGAGGGGAACGAAAATATATGTATATATACAATTTACTCTCGCTCTATACAAACACAAACACATTTTATACATTTGCGTTTGTATAAAAGCGAGAGAGGCGAGGGAGAGACTGTCGAGAGTGGCGAGCGAGATTCACCAGGGAGAGGCGAAATAGCAATAGTTTACTACGGAGTACAATTAAATCAAATTGTCGTTATGACATTCAATTTGAATTAATAGTTTGTTATTATATATAACTTTTCCTAAAATATAAGGATAACAGACACATCATCAACGTCTCGATACATCGCGTTTCGATATATTATCTTTGTTGATACAAGATATATGTCTTGATACATCGTTCAACGTCATGTTACATCGTGTCCAGATACATTACTATAGTTGATACAATACATATATGTCCATAGACATCGCATAAGAGTGATGTATCCGAAAATAGGAGAGAGTGAGGAAAATAGAGATTTTTAAAAATTTAAATAGTAGGAAATTTTAGAGACTGTGATAAAATAAATTGTGTATTTAGGTAAAAAAAATTTATTTATATAGGGAGTGAGGACGTTGAGTCGGGGGCATAGGCGGACCGACGTTGAACAATGGGAATGCTCGTGAACCTGTTAATTTCGAAAAAAAGTTATAATTATATCTTGAGAAATTATGAGTTATTTAATTGAAAAAGGTCGGAGTGTCTTTAAATTATGTGAAATTGAACAAAAATATTTTCAGTCAATAGTTTAGTCTAAGCCGTCAATAGTTTGGTCAAAAAATGTTCTTGTCATTCCTTTAAGTCAAACAATGAAAAATCTCGTCGAGTGTTCAATGAAAAATTTAAATTTTATTTAACGATGAAAAAATGCTTGTACTCCTTGTGTATTAAAAGTTGCATTCAATTTTTGTATGTTGAAGTTGGCATAAGTGAGTCAAAACTTTTAACATATGACATAAATAAGTTTTTTTAAAAAGTTTGATGACAAATTTAAATTTTTTTTTAATACATTATCTTTGTTGATAAAAGAAATGTCATGATAATCTGAAATGCATATTTGCATTTAGGAATAACGTATTAGTTAATAATATTTCACATTAATTATTCTTTTAATAATATTACAAAACTTACCATTTTTGGGAAGATAAATAAATCTTTTCCTAATCAACTAGGTTTAGGTTACGGATTATTCTTTTTCTAAAAAAATATTATATTTCATACTTATACCTATAAAATCATTTTTAGAAACTTACCATTTTTAGGAAGATAAACAAATACTTTCCTAATCAACTAGGTTTAGGTTACGGATGCCTATAAATAGATACCCTCCATTTGTTTCTATTATACAAAAAAATATTAGTGATCTTGTTACTAGCAAAAAAAAACTTTTCTTTACTCATATTAGTTAGTGATCTTGTTATTAGCAAAAAAAAAAAAAACTTTTTTTTCACTCATATTAGTTAGTGATCTTGTTATTAGCAAAAAAAATGGCGATATATTATGTCCAAAATGCCAATAATTGGCAGTACGTGACTAATGTTCACCATGTCAGACAAATAGATGCCCCTAGGTACATTAGTTGGTCATTTCCTCCTTTCGGATATATTAAGATCAACGTAGATGGAAGTTTTATGCCAAATTCAGGATTAGCGGGATATGGAGGCATTGCAAGAGACGATAGGGGTAGGTGGCTAGGAGGATTTGTGGGGCGATTAGGTGTGGTAACAAAGTCGTGCCTCAGGGCAGAATTGTGGGCCATACACGGTGGACTGACGGTGGCGAAGAACTTCAACTTGACGAACGTCATCATCGAGACTGACTCGAATGAAGCATTGATGCTGATGATTAAGAGAGAAGCCGTCGACAATCACCCTGACTACAACGTGATAAAAGAGTGTCGGCGTCTCATGTTAGAGCTTGGAGTCTCCATAATGCATACTCTAAGGCAAGGAAACAATTGTGCGGATCACCTGGCGAAACTGGGAAGGATGCAACAAGGTGAAGACCTAGTAATACTACATCGTCCCCCACATTCCATGCACCAACTTATTCTCGCGGACATGGCTCACGTTGCATACCCTAGGTACCCAAAACATGTACGATAGTTTTAGTATATATAGCACAAAAGAAAAAAAATATGAAATTGTATGTAAACATTTGTTAATGTTACCAAGAATATAATGAAATGTATTTTTATTAATTATAATGTGGGAAGATGATGTTATGAATATAATTTTGGTGGTTTGTTAATGAATGGACTATCACTGTTTAGACACTCGTGATAAGTTGATAGTTAGTTGGCATGGTAAAAGCTATTTTATTCAATTACATTCGATTTCAATTTGTTTGTATTACTTTCTTTTTCTATTTAAAAAAGAATGTATCTTTCCTTTTTTGGCAATTGTTCAATTATTACTTTCCACGTGATATGTTTATAACCACAAGATTAAAGGTCGTTTTAGCACATTTTACATATCAGTGTTATCAAAGGCAAAAAGCGCAAAAAAACTCTATCCATTGGGGTTTTAAGCCCAAAGCGCAAATAAAGTGTAGGCTTTTAATAAAAAAAAGGTAGTGCAAAGGGAGAAAAAAATCCAAATCTGTATGTATAGACTTTAGTCCATTATAAACATGAATGACAAATATATGAACAAATAAATTGAAAAAAGATTTAAGATAAAGTGAAATATCAATTTTTAAGTGTCACCTCGTTAGAAGAGGCTCATTGGCAAGGAAAAATATGCCTTAGAACCTTGATGACGACACTGAATCGCACCGTGTTGAGCCTCGCTTTAGGGCTTAAGCGCATTTTGATCACACCTTCGATAATACGTCCACACATCTTTAGTTTAAGACCACAAGATTCAAAAGTCTTTCTTACTTTCTTAAACTCCATGTCAAGTTAAAACCAGACAAACAAAGTGAAACAACAGATATATGGATGAATTACCAGATTTTAAATTTTACCCAATGTGTATAACACCAAGTTGACTCACTTGGTGTTTGGTGATGACTTGATGTTAAATCAATAGCTAGACTGATGGAAACAATTAGGTACTTTAGCAAGGTCACAGGATTGGTAGCAAACATAGGATAAATCCCACATTTTTAACATCAAAATGTTGACATTATTATTCACAAAAAGAGAAACATGAAAGTTTATGATCTGTTGGGAAACATCACAAGATCACAAAAGGAAACAAGCTAGTTCATGAACAAAACACTGCTGCAAACTGACCAAAGACACAGGCACTACCATTGAGAACAGACCCTCTAAAAACCACCACGGAGACGGAGGACAAGGTGCAGAGTAGACTCCTTTTGGATGTTGTAGTCAGCCAAAGTCCTACCATCTTCGAGCTGTTTCCCTGCAAAGATCAGCCTCTGCTGGTCTGGTGGGATTCCCTCCTTGTCCTGAATCTTGGCCTTCACGTTGTCAATAGTATCAGAACTCTCCACCTCCAAAGTGATGGTTTTCCCAGTCAAGGTCTTCACAAAAATCTGCATACCTCCCCTGAGCCTCAACACAAGATGAAGGGTCGATTCCTTCTGAATATTGTAATCGGCCAGTGTCCTTCCATCTTCCAACTGCTTGCCAGCAAAAATCAACCTTTGCTGGTCTGGAGGGATGCCCTCTTTGTCCTGAATCTTGGCCTTAACATTGTCGATGGTGTCAGAGCTTTCCACCTCCAGGGTAATAGTCTTGCCAGTCAAGGTTTTGACAAAGATTTGCATCCCACCGCGAAGACGGAGGACCAAGTGAAGGGTGGATTCCTTCTGGATGTTGTAATCAGCAAGGGTACGACCGTCCTCAAGCTGCTTTCCGGCAAAGATCAACCTCTGCTGGTCTGGTGGGATACCCTCTTTGTCCTGAATCTTGGCCTTAACATTGTCGATGGTGTCGGAGCTCTCAACCTCAAGTGTAATAGTCTTGCCAGTCAAGGTTTTGACAAAGATCTGCATTCCACCACGGAGACGGAGGACCAAGTGAAGAGTTGACTCCTTCTGGATATTGTAATCAGCAAGGGTCCGGCCATCCTCAAGCTGCTTTCCAGCAAAGATCAACCTTTGCTGGTCTGGGGGAATGCCTTCCTTGTCCTGAATCTTGGCTTTAACGTTGTCAATGGTGTCGGAGCTTTCAACCTCAAGGGTAATTGTCTTTCCAGTGAGGGTTTTAACAAATATCTGCATCCCACCGCGAAGACGGAGCACCAAGTGAAGAGTGGACTCCTTCTGGATATTGTAATCAGCGAGAGTACGGCCATCTTCAAGCTGTTTTCCGGCAAAGATCAGTCTCTGCTGGTCTGGAGGGATGCCCTCCTTGTCCTGGATCTTAGCCTTAACGTTGTCAATGGTGTCTGAACTTTCCACCTCAAGGGTGATGGTCTTTCCTGTGAGGGTTTTCACGAAGATCTGCATCTGCATGATACAAAATTTAACCAAAATTAGCACACAAACTCAAACTGCTGATAAAGATTTGAGTTTTTTAAAACATAATTGAAAGGTTTTTCAGATCCTAAACACAAACCAACACACAGACAGCACAAAATACAGAAAATAAAACGAAGAAGCAGTAAGCACACAAATTTGTCTTTCTGCATACACAAAGCTAGTAAACGAAAGCAGGATTTTGTGTTTTTGAGTTGAACGACCTTTCTAATTATAAACACAGAGCCAGATAGCACAAAAGACAGAAAATTCAACATGTGAGTATAAAAAAAGTACTGGAACAAAATCAAGATTGAATTTTTAAAACCTTTCTGATTTTAAACCCACAAAACAGATAGAATAAATCATAAAACTAAACGAAGAAAAATTCATACAACCAAATTAGGAAGACAAATCCAACAGGCAAGATAGCCCGATACACAAAGTATCCCATGCTGAGCAGGATCCGGTCTGGGAAAGGGACGCACCCAATTAGGGTTATGCAAGCATTAGCAACTGTTTCCACATCTCAAACATGTGACCCACAAGTCAACACGGAGACAACTTTACCCAAGCCATATACAAAAAGCTATAAAACAAAATCAAGATTGAGTTTTTATAATATATTTAGAAGGTTTTTTGAAATCATAAACACAAATCCAATAGTATTAAGCTCAAAAATCAATTTGGTACATATACAAAACACTGAAACATAATCAAGATTGAGTTTTTATAATAGATTTAGAAGGTTTTTCAGATCATAAACACAGATTTAATAGAATTAAGCACAAAAATCAACTTGGTACATACACCAAACACTGAAACATAATCAAGATAAAGTTTTTAACTTTCTGATTCTAAACACCAGAATCAACAAAACAGATAACAGAAAATATAGAACATTCAACTTGTTTCACATACAAAGCATTGAAACAGAATCAAGATCAAGTTTTTAAACTTTCAGATCATAAACACCACACCCAAATAAAACAAATAGCATAAATCACAGAAAAATCAAACCAAGAACATTAAGAAAAAGGAAAACAATAATACCTTAGTTTTTTTTTTTTTTTGTGAAGAATCTGAGGAGATTGAGAAATCAAAGGATGAATACTATTGGGTTACACAAAGAGGCTCCTTTTATAGCTTCTAATGGCCAACTTGAGAAGAAATTGCATAATATAGTAACCTATAATAGGATGACACGTGTCCTGTTGAGTTTTGTATCCAATTATTTGAACCCAAGTTTACCTCTTTTTTGTCCTTTTCTTTGATAAGTGGAGAACAATTAGGTGCAACTTCCTATATAATTTATCAATCCAAAAACTTGAAGAACATGACTTTCTTGTTGTTTAATTTGGGGTTGAAATTTACTTATTCCATTAATTTAACTTTAGGTGCTATTGCACTTCTTCTATTTTGGGTGTAACAAGTTTTACCGGCAATATTCCGTCCCTTAGAGATAGAGTCGAGAAATACCATGCATGATAGATCCATCCTTTCTATGAGTCTAACCCCACTAACTAATACACTTTGCTTTATTGAATTTATTGCTAAAATATTGACTTCTGAAGAGACATTGTTCGTACCTTCTTAGCTTAGGTTTCCAACCAAACAACATGGCCTTGTCTTCCCTGTGACTAACCAAAGCTAAGCACTTGAAAAGCGTGCTAAGAAAGGTTGCTTCTATTATTGATTGAGCACTCAATCCTAGGAAGTAGTTTTATATCGAAATGAGTCGAGCATTCATGACTTAAAAAAATATATCTGGATTCGCCATGGGAAATAGGTTGCTCCTTTTCATGAGTATTGGCTACATAAGTATGAAAAAAGATGAATTTCTTACCTACTATCCGCGCCTCTGCTTGTGAAGTTGTGATGAAGTTCAGGGTTAGAGATATTGATGTTGTTAGGTTGACAGGAACCAAAGTCTCTCATCAAAATTCATCAAATTATGAAGTAATGGAAGAACCCATTTCTATGCTACGCTCCTAATAAAAAGCCTGTTGAAAAACAAGAAAAGTCAGTTGTATAATTAAGATGGTAAAACAGAAGCTTGTAACTCAAGGCTATCATCATCTAGTTGAAGAACACAAGGCAAACACAAGTGGAGTAAATAGAATAAGCCAAGCCAGAATCATGATATCCTAGTGTTTCGCGCTTGTGAAGCCATAATCAACTTACCCATCAGGCCAACAGAGCTAAGAAAACAGACAGAAGAATAGCCGACCATATATGGTTGTCCTCGTTCTTCAATAATGAACGGCTGTTTTGATATATAGTTAAACTGATGGATCTTAACTTGCATCAATATGTCTAAGAGCTTAAGATCAAAGTTATATCACTGATTGCAAAGATCAGACAATTCAGGACCAAAAATTTAAGCATTGTTACAAAGAAATTAAGCTACAAGAGAAGATAGCTTCTGTTCCAGTAAGAAGAAATTAAGCTGAATCACAGCAGAAAGTTCTCTTCTGTTTCAGTAAGAAGATAGTATTATAGACATCCAATAGAAAATTAGTGTAATCAAAATGTTATATTTTCCTCTATATAAAACTGAACTTCAACAAAGTAAGAAAAGGCAAGTATGAGAGATCATCAACACAAGAGCTTAAAAGACAAAACTTTGATATCATAAGTCTTCTCATACATTGCAAAAAAAGGAAAAGTTCCAATGCCAAACATAATTAAACAGGCTAGTTCATTATTATTCCCAATAAAATCATGAGAGTTCACGAGTCTTTAGGGACACATACAAGTAAACAGACTAGTTCATGAACGAAACATAGCAACAAACAGACCCAAGACACCAACAGCAACAGACTCCATCAAAAACCACCACGGAGTCGGAGGACAAGGTGCAAAGTAGACTCCTTCTGGATGTTGTAATCCGCAAGGGTCCAGCCATCCTCAAGCTGCTTTCCAGAGAAAGATCAATCCCTGCTGGTCTGGGGGAATGCCTTCCTTATCCTGGATCTTGGCCTTAACATTGTCAATGCTATGGAGCTTTCAACTTCAAGGGTGATCGTCTTTCCAGTCAAAGTCTTCACGGAAATCTGCATTCCACCATGACGAGGGAGCACCAAGGTGAGAGTGGACCCGTTTTTGATGTTGTACTCAAAGAGGGGATGACCATCTTCAAGCTGCTTGCCTTCAAAGATCAACCTCGGCTTGTCTGGGGGAATGCCTTCCTTTTCCTGGATCTTAGCCTTTACATTGTCAATGGTGTCGCTGACGTCCACATCGAGATCGCAATTTTTTCAAAACAAAATAAGTCATAAGGTATTTCAGATCATAAACACAGACACAACACAACAACACAGAGAACACAAATTACATAAAATTTGAGGGAGGAGCAGCAGATATTCATTAATGAGCACATAAAATTCAACTTGGTGCATAAACGAAAACATTGAAACAAAATCAAGATTGAGTTTTTACAAATAGAAATAGAAGGTTCTTCATATCCTAAACACAACACATATCCAACTGAAACACACGGCAAAAAATACAAGTGTAATCCCACAAGTAGAGTCTGGGGAGGACAGGGTGTTCGCGAAATCTCCTAAAGAAACTCAGCTCAACAACAACAACATATCCATTGAAATCCACTAAGTGTGGAGGTAGAGAGGCTGTTTTCAGAAGACCCTCGGCTCAAGTGCATCAATCCAAGTAAAAAGAAGAAAACACTGAAGAAGCATAGGCGTTCAATAAGAAAAATCAGTGTGGAAGTCTACAAGAAAGAAACAATAACATCAAAATAGTATAAACTCAGCACACACAAACACAAGAGTAATGCATACAGAAAATAAAACGAAGCAGCAGTTATCATACAACAAAAGTAATGCATACAGAAGGTTGAAACAAAGTCAAGATTGAATTTTTAGATCAGAATTAAATGGTTTCTCAGCTCATAAACACAGAACCAATGAAACAAACAGCACAAAATACAGAAAAATTAAAATAATAAGAAGAAAAGCTATAATACCTTGAGAGGTTTCTTTGAAGAATCTGAGGAGATGAGAGATCAATGGATGAATGCTATGGGGTTACAGAGAGGCCCCTTTATATGCGCTAATATATAATTAACAAATATAACATGAAGAATATTCAAATCCAACAAACGTGGTTGCCATAATTTCAATCTGCTCTATATATTTTCCATTAGGTGTTCGAGTATGGAAGCTCGACTAATTTGAATTCGTGTTCATTAGGGTATGGTACTTATATTGGAGTCAACTAATCCAGATTCGCATTGCGGGAGAAGTGTTCCCTATCAAAAAAATTCATACTTTAAGATTTGAAATCTAGATAAGGGAGAAGCAACCCCATTAGTTTACTTAATAAAATAAATAAACTGAATTTAAGGACACAAAATTTTCAAACTGAAAAATCAATACAAGGACACAATAGTTTTGAACTGAAAAATTTTAACTTGAATGGATAAGAAGAAGAACTAACATTTGACTACCAAATGATGCACTGCAGCGGATGAGGTTGTTCATCCCTTAATTATAACTAAGGTCTCGATTTTCGAGTCTTGTGTGTTGTGTATGGAAAAATTCTTGGCAGGGAGTATTTCCAGGAGTGGGGCTTACCAGTGAGATTTCGAATTTTTCGGGCTCAAACCGTTCACCGAATGAAGAAAAACACAAAATCTAACCACCTTTTTCATATTACAGCTAAATCGCAAATGAGGTATTGATTTCGAGCCTTGTGTTGGCAAAATTCTTAGTAGAAACCGTTTCTCACGAATGATCTCTATACTGTTTGAATCCAAATTAGTCGGGCTCCTATGTAACTTAAACTATCATTTTTTTCCCTCCCTTTTCACCCTTCTTGAGCCATGACATTTATGAAATGTGGATATCAATTGGTATTAGGGGTTGGCAGATCTGGATCCTTGATTAATTTATTTAACAGATCTGAATCCGCGATGCAATGTGCTCATACATTCACGCGCTGTGCTCTTACCAGTAGACTAAAGAATACGGGATTTACCCTCGAAAATCGCTCAATTATCAAAAAGAAAAGAAATGCACAAATCAACACAGAATTTAAAAAAAAAAACATGACCAGATCATCACACAGTTACCAAGAGTTGCAATTGTTGAACGTGTTTCTTTCTTTATACATATGTTAATTTCCTATCAGATCATCATCACCATGTGTTTAATATGTTACGAATTTATAATGGAAGAAGTCCTGTTTGTTGTAAGATTACTGAAGGAAAGATTGGTCATAAATATGGATTTTATTGTTTTCTTCAAATTTCATATGTGAATATAGCGAAAGCAAAGAGACGATGAAACTAAAGCTTTGATGGACTTAGGTACCGGGAAGATCAACTAAAGAAAAGCTAAGTCTTTTTTATATTGCTTGTGGTCAGGAACCCGAAACTAACACCATCCAATTCATGTTGTTCCGTTGCTAGTGGCCAGGAAGCTTGTTTGGACACGTGAGACTGAAGTGTCTGGACATGACCTCGAATTCAATAGCTCAACAAGGGGTGCAAATTTCATGCATCGATGTGTCTTGTATTGGTCTAGGGAAGAACCTAAGTTAACACATTAGTCCATGAGCTTGTCAAAAGTCCCAGTTTCCAGTCTTCCCAATTGTTTATAGTTTGTTACAGTAGTGTTATTGTTGCTAGCTCTATTATCTTTGGTATGTACCAGTACTATTATGAATTGGCTTATAAGATGACCTTCTGATGGCCAGAAGACAATGCCAACGACAACAATATACCGAGTATAGTTTGATGAATGGGGTTTGAAGAGAGTGGTGTATATAACACTATGAACACTGAGCATTTACTCATGGACCAAAAGTAAAAAGGCTATTACCAGCAAATCCAGAACATAAGAACAAACTAGGCATAACACAAGTGGAGCATATACAAATAGAAGACGCCAAGTTATTAATTTCTAAGAAAGAGATCATATTGATTGATGACTCTTTCAATCCAGCGAAATAGAAGGCTTTGGCATGTATCAAAATAAGGAGTACCTGAGATTCATAGTGAACATTGATGGGTGTTCCTCTTGCCCTGAATCATGGTATCCCAGAGTTTCAAGCTTATGAAGCCAGAATCAACTTACAAGATGCACCTTCAGGCCAACAGAGAGAAGAGTAGGCAACCATAGCAGCATAGTATTCCTCATTCTTAGAGTGGGCTGATTTTATGCAAGTTAAATTGGTGGATCTTAACATTGCATCATAAAAAAAAAGGATCAGTATTCAGGGGATTTCAAGAAGAATGCAGTTGCAAAGACGACTGCGCAATTGCAGATATCGTTGGACAGAACAAATTCTCTGTCCAGTAATCACCAACTGCACAATTGCAGATGTCAATTATGCAGAACACACAGAGATATCTAAGAGCTTAATATCAAAGTTCGAGATATATACTTCTCACTGATTGCAAAAGATAAGATAATTCAGGACCAAAACCTCCCCTTCTCATATGTTGATGGAATTAGGAAAGAATTTGCAACTGGTTGTAAGTTCCAACATTAAAAGCTTAAACTGAATGTAAGTTCAACAAAGGCCAAAATCAGGTTAAACCAGCAAAGTATCCAATCTTACAAAAGGATTACATAATAAGAGTTGGGTGTACAAAGAAATTAAGCTACAAGAGAGATGATGACTGATCTAATTTTTCTCACATGATACACTAGTAGAGAGATCTCTTTCTATCCCAGTAACAAGATATAGTAGACAATTCAACAGGATAGCAGTGTAATAAAAAGGTTTACCATGTTTGACAACACAGAGAATGTCAGATATATAAACTGAACTTCAAACGAAGTAAGAAAAGAGAAATATGCCACAACATTAAAGATCATCAACAACACAAGAGCTTGAAAGACCAAACTTTGAGATTATACTATTCTTCTCTGAGATTGCAAAAAGAAAAAGACTCAATACCAAACATAATTAAACCAGACTAGTTCCTTATTATTCACTATAAGAAAAACATGAGACTTCACAAGTCTTCTCGACTCTCTTGGGACACATCACAAGGTCACAAGTAAACAGAATAGTTCATGAACGAAACACAGCAACAAACAGACCCAAGACACCAACAGCAACAGACCCCTTCAAAAACCACCACGGAGACGGAGGACAAGGTGCAGAGTAGACTCCTTTTGGATGTTGTAGTCCGCCAGAGTCCTTCCATCTTCAAGCTGCTTCCCTGCAAAGATCAGCCTCTGCTGGTCCGGTGGGATTCCCTCCTTGTCCTGAATCTTAGCCTTCACATTGTCAATGGTATCAGAACTCTCCACCTCCAAAGTGATGGTTTTCCCAGTCAAGGTCTTCACAAAAATCTGCATACCTCCCCTGAGCCTCAACACAAGATGAAGGGTCGATTCCTTCTGAATATTGTAATCGGCTAATGTCCTTCCATCTTCCAACTGCTTGCCAGCAAAAATCAACCTTTGCTGATCTGGTGGGATACCCTCTTTGTCCTGAATCTTTGCCTTAACGTTGTCAATGGTGTCGGAGCTTTCCACCTCAAGGGTAATAGTCTTGCCAGTCAAGGTCTTCACGAAGATTTGCATCCCACCACGGAGACGCAGGACCAAGTGAAGGGTTGACTCCTTCTGGATGTTGTAATCAGCAAGGGTCCGGCCATCCTCAAGCTGCTTTCCGGCAAAGATCAACCTCTGCTGGTCTGGTGGAATACCTTCTTTGTCCTGAATTTTGGCCTTAACATTGTCAATGGTGTCAGAACTTTCCACCTCAAGTGTAATAGTCTTGCCAGTCAAGGTCTTCACAAAGATTTGCATCCCACCGCGAAGACGAAGGACCAAGTGAAGGGTTGACTCCTTCTGGATGTTGTAATCAGCAAGGGTCCGGCCGTCCTCAAGCTGCTTTCCGGCAAAGATCAATCTTTGCTGGTCTGGGGGAATGCCTTCCTTGTCCTGGATCTTGGCTTTAACGTTGTCAATAGTGTCGGAGCTTTCAACCTCAAGGGTGATGGTCTTTCCGGTCAAAGTCTTCACGAAAATTTGCATTCCACCACGAAGACGGAGCACCAAGTGAAGGGTTGATTCCTTCTGGATGTTGTAATCAGCAAGGGTCCGGCCGTCCTCAAGCTGCTTGCCAGCAAAGATCAGCCTTTGCTGGTCTGGGGGAATGCCTTCCTTGTCCTGGATCTTAGCCTTAACATTGTCAATGGTGTCGGAGCTTTCAACCTCAAGGGTGATGGTCTTTCCTGTCAAAGTCTTCACGAAAATTTGCATTCCACCACGAAGACGGAGCACCAAGTGAAGAGTGGACTCTTTTTGAATGTTGTAATCAGCGAGGGTCCGGCCGTCTTCAAGTTGCTTGCCGGCAAAGATCAGCCTTTGCTGGTCTGGGGGGATGCCTTCCTTGTCCTGAATCTTAGCCTTAACATTGTCAATGGTGTCTGAGCTTTCCACCTCGAGGGTGATCGTCTTTCCAGTGAGGGTTTTGACAAAGATCTGCATCCCACCACGAAGACGGAGCACCAAGTGGAGAGTTGACTCCTTCTGAATATTGTAATCGGCTAGAGTACGGCCGTCTTCAAGCTGCTTGCCTGCAAAGATCAGCCTCTGCTGGTCCGGGGGAATGCCTTCCTTGTCCTGGATCTTGGCTTTAACGTTGTCAATGGTGTCTGAGCTTTCCACCTCAAGGGTGATAGTCTTTCCAGTGAGGGTTTTGACAAAGATCTGCATCTGTACACAAAATTCAACAAAATTAAGCACATATACTCGAATAGGCACAGACACGAAGCTACAAAATGAGAGGACAGATTTGAGTTTCTGAAAATAGAATTAACAGATATTTCAGATCACAAACCAAAACCTAACAGAACACAGCACAAAATATAGAAATAAAATGAATCAACAGCCACTATCACAGGACTCAGCCAATTGTCTTGATTGTCGATTATCATTGAAAAATAGGAATCCAGGTTAGCAAAAGCTTTCCTTATTTCTAATACGGAATGGAGTCAATCATCCACTTTTGGTATCTTATTGGAACAAAATGGTGATATTTTTCACCCATTGATCAATAATTCCAATTTTTGAAAAGTATCATAATCATCATCCAATAAGAAGGCTTCCAATTTTTTCAAAATAAAATAATTAACAGGCTTTAGATCATAAACACAGACCAAACTGCACAAATAACAGAAATTTAAAGGTAAGCAGCAGCTATTTTAATGTGATGAGAACACAAAATTCAACTTGGTGCATAACCAAAAACATTGAAACCAAAATCAAGATTGAGTTTTTACAAATAGAAATAGGAAGGTTCTTCATATCCTAAACAAAGATCCAACAGAAACACACAGGCAAAAAATACAAATCCCACAAGTGGAGTCTGGAGAGGGTGCATGCTATTTCAACAACAAACTTACCTCACACAAACAAAAAAAAAATCAGAAAATAAAACGAAGCAGCACCTATCATACAACCAAAATAACACATACAGAAGTTGAAACAAACTCAAGATCGACTTTTTAGATCATAATTAAATGGTTTTTCAGCTCATAAACACATGAGCATTAAAACAAATAGCACAAAATACTGAACATTGAAACAAAATCAAGATCCAATTTTTTTAAATCAGAATTAATGTTTTTCAGCTCTCACATGAGCAATAAAACAAATAGCACCAAATACAGAACATCGAAACAAAATTAAAATCCAATCTTTTTAGATCAGAATTAAAAGGTTTTTTCTCACCTCATAAATACAGAAAATTAAGGCACACACAAGGTTGAAACAAAATCAAGATTGAATTTTTAGAACAGAATTAAAAGCCCTTTCTAATTCTAAACCAAACCCAAACACGACAAATAGCACAAATTACAGAAAACTAAGCATACAGAATATTGAAACAAAATCAAGATCCAATTTTTTTAGATACCCAATAAACCAAATAGCACAAAATACAGAAAATTAAAGCATACAGAACACTCAAACAACATAAAGATTGAATTTTTAAAACAGAATCAAACACCCTTTCTTATTATAAACACAGACACAGTAAAACAAATAGCACAAAATATAGAAAAATTAAACAAAAAACTAAAAGAAGGAAAACTATAATACCTTGAGAGGTTTTTTTTGAGGAATCTGAGGAGATGAGAAATCAATGAATGAATTGGGGTTACAGAAACCCTCCTTTTATAGGTGTTAATGGCCAATTTGAGAAGAAATTGCCTAATGAAGTAACCTATAATAGTATGACACGTGTCCTTTTCTTTGATCGGTGGAGAAAAATTAGGTACCGTTTGGATGGCAACTTCCTATATAATAATCCAACAAGAAAAATATTCAAATCCAACTAAAGTAGTTGAGACATAATTATCAATCTATTTTATTTTATTTTAATTTTTCAATGATCGAATATTGGAGTCTGACTAATTCAAATTTCTATCGTGTAGGATCTATTCAAGTGTGATATTCGACTATTCGTTAGAATACGACTAATTCAAATTATGCTAGGAAGTTTTTCATACTTAATTGTGATGTGAGTTATGAAACGGGCAACTTAATTTGTTTGATGGTTAATCAAAATAATTATTCTACCAATAGTAAATCAATCGAATGACCAGAAGTTTGAATCACACAACTCGATTTTAGGATACAATATCTCATAAACTTAAAAAATTAAACTTTACGATACTAAAGTCAAAATTTTAAAATTTGAATTGAATAGATTGAACTTAATTGCACGGTCTTCTGAAGTTTTGAACTGAAAAATTTAACTTAAATTGATAAGAAGAAGCAACATTTGACCACTAAATGATGTCGTGCAGTAGACAAGACTCTTATTCGCTTAATCACAAATCTCGATTTTGAGCCTAACGTGTTGTGTATGAAAAAACTCTTGATAGGTGACATTTCCCATGAATGAGCTTTATACATCACGAATACAAATTAATTGAACTCTAACACGATTATCATTCACGGTAAGAAAAACCAAAAACAAAATATCTATATTACTTGACTTTGTGTTGAAGAGTTTGTTTGTTGAGTATCGTGTTGTTTGGTACTCACCTTTGCTTCTACATTTGTGTAGGTTACAACTTACAAGCTCGAATCTTCGTGATACCCCTCTCTTCTCTTCATTTCTGAGGCTGCCTGTGGAGATTTGTGAGGTAGTTGTTGTCATCTCAGTTGACTCTATTACTCTTATTTATGACCTTGTTCTATTTTAGAGACATATCATTTGAGACTTGTATTTTCTTTCAAAACAATTGTAATACATTAGAGGCTTATCACGTGACAACCAGTTTTTTGGGTATTATGAGTATGATTAACTTATCCAAATTTATCTTATTGTGACTTTGTTTGCACATTTTACCTGTTAAATTGGATTTCAGGTTGACTTGTTGTGGTGGAATAAGACAAGTATCGTTACGTCCATTTTTGGATAGTGACATTAACCACCTTATATATTACACCTAAATCGCAAAAGAGGCCTTGGTTTCGAATGTTGTATTTGAGAAAAATACTTGATGTATAGCATTTTTCATAAATGATCTTTACGTGGTACGAATCTGAATTAATCAAAGAAATATAAAAAATACAAAAAAAAAAAAAAAAAAAAAAAAAAGAGAGACAAAGAAGCAATATGTGGTCATCTATTAAATTTGGCTAAATCTCAAATAATTTGCTTAAAACATAAACAAACATAAGTGGCTATCTTATGCAATATTCTCTCTATTTCTACAAAATCCATCTATGTAAAGTAGCTCACTCATAATTGATCGGAAAAAATCAGCAGCAAATTCTCAGAGCTCTGATAATGGCTCCCGTTGCTCCCAGATCCGGCGACGCCATTTTCGCCAACGTTGAACGAGTGGTAAGTTTTCATTCAATTTGGGATTTTTAGACTTAATTTGAGATTTTTCCGGTTAAATTTGAGATTTTTTCGATTAAATTGGAACGAGTGGTACTAAATGTTGGATTAATTTTGTGGGTTTTCTGTAGAATGCTGAACTTTTCACCCTAACGTACGGTGCGATCGTGCGACAACTGCTTACTGATCTGGAGGAGGTTGAGGAAGTCAACAAACAGCTTGATCAAATGTAAATCCTTTACTTGTATTTTTTTTACATCAAAATTTGTACCCTTGCGTCCCAATTTATGTGATGTAGTTTTATCGGACACGAAGTTTAATAGTAAGAGAAATGGCAAGACTTTGTAATGTTGCAACTATACTCAAAATAAATAATTTTAAAATAGAAGAGTGTGTAGTATAAATTGGGACAAAGGGAGTAGTTAGTTGTTTTGTTAGCCTTATAGAACTTCGAATTGAACTCCGTCTATGTGATCTGAAGCATACATAAAAGGGAAAGAAATCACCTAGTGTTTTTGACTCTCAGTTGTGTTAACTATAGTATTTGAGGGAGAGAAAACTAGGTAATGTGCTAATTTGTTTTCTAGGTTGTGGGTTTGTTTTAGTTGTTTTGTTAGTGTTATAGAACTTCAAATTGAACTTCGTCTATGTGATTTGATGCCTAGATAAAGTGGAAGGAAATCACCTAGTATTTTTGTCTCGATTGTGTTTACTATAGTATTTGAGGGAGAGAAAACTAGGTAATGTGCTGATTTGTTTTCTAGGTTGTGGGTTTGTTTTAGTTGTTTTGTTAGTGTTATAGAACATCAAATTGAACTTCGTCTATGTGATTCGATGCCTAGATAAAGAGGAAGGAAACCACCTAGTGTTTTTGTCTCGATTGTGTTTACTATAGTATTTGAGGGAGAGAAAACTAGGTAATGTGCTAATTTATTTTCTAGGTTGTGGGTTTGTTTTAGTTGTTTTGTTAGTGTTATAGAACTTCAAATTTAACTTTGTTTATGTGATTCGATACCTAGATAAAGAGGAAGGAAATCACCTAGTGATTTTGTCTCGATTGTGTTTACTATAGTATTTGAGGGAGATAAAACTAGGTAATGTACTAATTTGTTTTCTAGGTTGTTGGCTGGTATTCGTTGTTTCGTTAGTGTTATAGAACTTTCAGTTGAACTCCATTCTATGTGATTTGAAGCAGATATAAAGGAGGTTGAAGAGCTGACCATACGTCTTGATCAAATGTAAATCCTTTATCTAGTTTTCCCCCATCAAAAACTGGGGTTAAAATGTACTTATTTGTTTTCTAGGTTGTGGGCTGGTAATAGTTGTTTTGTTAGTCCAATTGAACTTCCAATTGAACTCTATCTATGTGATCCGAAATCCAGAAAAAGGAGGAGAGTTAAGGTTTGAGTGAGAAGAGTCTATTAATGATGTATCATATGAATTGAGCTTAAATGAAGAAGTTGGGTTCATATAGGCCAACCCCAACTCGTTTAGAATTGAGGCTTATTGTAGTTGTTGTATTGATGAATCATGGAATGGATCCGGAGGATGCATATATAGCTGACTTTAGTTAGGATTGAGGCATAGTTGATTGATATTTAATGTAATTGTCTGTGGCAATTTAATTTAACTGTATTGGCTCAGAAGTACACAAAATTTGAGAAGTTTAACTGATTGCAGGGGTTATAACATTGGAATTCGGCTCATTGATGAGTTTCTGGCAAAATCTAACGTTTCTAGGTGTATTGATTTCAAGGAAACAGCTGAAGTCATTGCCAAGGTCTCTCTTCCCCCTCCAAGTTGCATTATATTTAAATGTGTGTTGGTTTATTATGAAGTTTCAGTTTTATTTTGGAATAGTAGTTCTGAATTCTGATATCCCACACATGCCAGTAGCCAATACAAAACAGAGTCGTTCAAAAGTATCAGCAGGAATACTATGGAAGTATAAATTTTAATCAATGTTATGGAGGTTAATCACCGAGATGTGATTAAATGGAATGGCATGGACTGTGAAATTTCATATAGTCAACCCCAACTTACTTGGATTGAGGCGTTGTTGTTGTTGTTAATGTGGCAGTAGATTTGAAACTGAAGTGAGAATTGAGGCAAAAGTTTGAAACAAGTATCTTGCTCTGGAAGTTGTACTGTTATGCTGACTGCCAAAGCCTTATTCTCAAATAGTCTTTTAGCAGTCTGACTTGAACAACAAAGTAAAGAGCAATTTTGGTCATTTGGTTGTAATCCTCGGTTTCTCTATATAACTGAATAACTACTTCTTCATTTCCTCTATAAAGGGGGTCATGTAAATAGTACGTTAAGTGAAGAGAAAATGCATAACAGAACATATAAATTTTACAGAATTAGCTCTTCATTTTTCAAGTCTCTTTATAGTACATAAACAAAGCGATGATCAAATTCGAGAAGAAAATGTATACAAGAACATAACTTCTTTATTTTTTTAACAGAGATTCATGCCACCATTTTTCTTCAATCATTTCAAAGTTGAGAAATATAGTTAACCACTAAAAAAGTTAGAAATTATGAGAGATTTGTGTGAGTGTGTGTGGGGTGGGGGGGGGGGGAGGGTAGAAGAGCCACGTGGATGGTTTCCTAGAGGGTGTATGGTCACGCATTTGCCCTAGGTTTCTAAGGAAGCAAAAGAGAAAAAGATGAAGAAAAGGAAAATAGAGAATGAGAGTGTGGCTGGTCATTCTTTGCCCCTTTTTTAGAGGGATTGTTGTCACCCCTAGGATATGATAATGATGATTCTTCGATATTTTTATGGGAAAAGGGTCAAAATTACCCCTCAACTTTGTTTTATTGGTTGACTTTATCCCTGCCGTTAAAAGCAAGTTATTTTTACCCTGCTGTCAATAAACTTAACAAATATACCCCTCCTTGGATGGAAAGCCCCAAATCAATTAAAATTACTCGATTTTACTTAAATTACCCAATTTTAACCCGACTCGACCCACTTAATAATATACCTGATTTTCCAAGTCAGATCTGAGGTCAACGATCTACCCAGAACCTGTTGACCACTTCAACCAGCAACCTTATCCAGTTCTTCTCTTGATTTTCAACAAGATCGATGGTGTTAAAACTCTAGGAAGGTGTTGTGGAGTTTGTACGAGGTTTCATTCACTTGTTCCTCGAGTTGATAACGTTGTTGTTCATGTTGATTGTGTTATCTCTGATGATGACTCTTCTAATAAGTCACGTCACCCCATTTCTTCCCTTTTTCGACTTGTATTCCTTGGTCTTGTTAAACCCTTTCAATCCCTTAGTTGATCTCCATTTCTTCCAGGCGATGTACTGCTTCATCGTCTCT